TCCCTCTCTCTGTACTGTTCAAGTAAATAAATAAATAAATCTTAAATAAGCTGAAGCTTAAGGAGTTTCAGAGATTTGCTCAACTAGCTGTCATTCTTCATCATATGGAGAGTGAAAATGGCAAAATCTGGGTTCTTTGTTTTGCTCTCTGAACACAGATAATATTACTCTGAATTTCCTTCTTGGAACTGCTGAACTTCCTGCCACTAGAGATTAGTTTACATTTTCTAGAATTTTATATTAATGGTAAAATCAGTGAGGGTTTTTTATGTTTTGTTTTCAACTCTTTAAAATTTGAAAGGCAGACTTATTTTTCTTCTGGTGTGTCACTCTGAATGACCATCTGCCTACAGTGTTGGCATTACAATGGGCACTCCCAGTTAAGTCTTAGCTGCTCCATTTCCAGTTCAGCTCCCTATTAACATACTTGGGTAAAGCAGTAGAAGATGGCTCAGTCCTTAGGTCCCTGCACCCACAAGGAAGATGATGGAAGCCCCAGGAACCTGGTTTTGGAATAGCCCAGCTCTGGCAGCTGCAGCCAGTTGGGCAGTGAAGCAGTGGATAGAAGATCTGATAGTGGCTAAAGTCCTTGCCTTGCATGCCAGGATCCGATATGGAAGCTGGCTCATGTCCTGGTGGCCCCACTTCCCAACCAGCCTCCTTCCCCTTGGCCTGGGAAGGCATTCAGGGATGGCCCAAAGCCTGGGGACCCTGAACACGTATGGGAGACCTGGAATAATCTCCTGGCACCTAGCTGCGAATTGGCTCAGCTTTGGCCATTGTGGCCATTTCGAGATTGATTCAACGGACAGAAGATCTTTCCTCTCTGTCTCTCATCCTCCCTGTATATCTGACTTTCCAATAAAAATAATAAATAAATAAATAAATAAATAATAGCGGAAAAAAAAAGCCTGACCTCAGAAAATGCTTTTTATGGCTGTGCATCACTGCATCTCTAGGTTTCACATGCCTACTTGGATGACGTTGTGCTGGAACTGAAAAATATTATCTCTTAAGCCTCCTCCATTTCTAATTTTTGGCAAGGAACTTTATGATACTGTTTTGTCATGCCCATTTTCTACTTGGAAGAGAGGATCTGGCCAATCAAAAGGAGTAAAGTAACAGACCAGGCAGTGATCCTTTAGAGTAAACTGAAACAAGGCAGTCAGTTTAGTCATGAACACTAATTTGATTAGGATTTGGTTCACTTGAGTAATCAAAGAGGTACCAATATCCTTTCCCAAAGAATACCATGAGAGAGAAAAAAAAATCACCAACTCAAAAATCTATTGCACTGCTGAGCCAACTCCATACCTAGAACGTGAAAAACAAAAGAAAAAGGATGTTTCAAGTTAAGACAGTGGCTGCACTGCTTATATCCCATATGAAGGTACTGGTTTTAGTCCTAGCTTTTCCACTTGCAGTCCAGCTCCCTCTAATGCGTCTGGGAAAGTAGTGGACAACAGTCCAAGTGCTTCAGCCCCTACCCATGTGGGAGACTCAAAATAATCTGCTGGCTTGTGCATTCCAGTCAGGTCCAGCCTCAGATGTGCAGCCATTTGGGAGTGACCCAGTAGATGGAAGATCTCTCTCTCTCTCTCTCCCTTCCTCTGTAAGTGCGCCTTTCAAATAAATAAAATAAACCTCTAAAAAGAAAAACAAATACAAGTTACTGTCAGTGTTTGAAAAATCTATCTGATATCACTATATATGTAGCTAGAAGCACTCCCAGTAGCCTCCTGCCTTCTCCTGTAGGAAAAGTAAAACTACATTACGCAAAAGTTTGGGGGATGCAAATGCTTTGCGATGTAAGGGTAAAGAATATGAGAAGGTAATGAGTAGAACTGCTAAAAACTAAGGAAAAAAAAATACCTGTCTAAACAAAAGGAGCACACTGTTTCAGAACTTCATTTTGGAAATATTGGGTAAGTTGCAGCTTTCACAGACAGTTTGCAATTTCTTCCCTATTCCTCCCCTTCTACAGCCTGTGATAGGTATGGGCCTAATATTCAGGGAAAAGGTCAAAACGTAGCTAGTAGTTATTAAAAGTCATGTCCTCATATAGAAAAAATCAGTAGACACTTGACTTCACACAGTTTTTCTAGCACACTAAACTTATCAGGTTTATTGGTAACTATGAGACTTCTGTACTTGGCATACACTGTCCACCTCTTCCATGTTCCATTTTCTATCATCTAGATGACATTAGCAAAGGTGATGTCATCAGTTAAAAGTAAAACTGGAAGTCAAGCACTAGAACACACAGACACAAGCCAAACTGGTCCATTCAAAGCTGGGAACTAGTACTGAGGAGTGTGATTGCTCACCATGACATGTCTGTTTTTCCTACCAAGTCAGGGCAGCTGAGAACATGGTATCTTCAAAAGAGATCCATCCATGTTTCAATGAGGTCAAGGAAGCAAAATAAAGATGAAAGATTTTTATTTTTTAAGACATAGTGAACAGCAATGTTACTTTGAGAGCTAGGAAGGATAGATTTTGGTAAAGCAAAAAAAATAAAGGGGTTGGGGGGAGTTATCAGAAGGGACTATAATTGATCACATCTCTGTTTTAGAACAATTTGAACGTTATCTAGGTTGTCTTTAGTTTCCTTAGCCAGTCATTCTTTTTTGAAGATACAGTTCAACTTCAACCTAGTCCTTTCCAATAGCTTCAAATTCTGAATAAAATTTCAGCAATTTGGAATTTCATGTTAATTATTCCTATATGAGGGCTGATGGAATTGAAGAACAAAGTCACAGGACAGTAACAATGGGCCGGCAAATGGTAACATAAAAAGAAAGACAAAGAAAAATAATACATGAATGTTTGTGCATGTATTACGTGCATAAATCACCAGATGGGGACTCAATGACACAAAAGGGAAAAAAGCTTTAACACAGGAAATGAGTCGAAGTCAGCAAGTCCCACAGGCTGCTACCAAGGACAATATTTTTACTCTGGTGATTGCAAGTTGGAGTCAACTTTGAAAGAGAACTGATGGTAAGCAATGCCAGTGTCAGTCAGATTCTGGCTGTTTTCATGTTTTATTTTAAGGAGTCAACACGCTTCTTTGACGTCGGCCAGCACACATACACAGTCATGGGAAGACTGATGCACTCAAGATATCTGTAATCAGGTAGCAACTAGGTCTAACTAGTTAACATTTGACACAAATATCAGCAAAATGATTTTTTGGTGCTTCTAAAAGTATTGCAGATTCACAGAACTTTCATGTTCAAGGCAGTCATTCAAATGACACCATCAGCCCTGGCTTCTCACAGTTTGAAGAGACCGAGGCTCACAAAAGAAGATTCAAGCCACAGGCACTAATAGAACACAAATGCAATCTCTTTGCTTAAAAGCAAAGAGTCAAACTGAAATCTAATAATGAAAAACACCTTAAAAGGAAAGATACCAGTTTGCTTCAGTTTTTACAAAGAAAATCATACGTTAGATCCTCCTTCTCTTTGAGAACAGAGTTTACATTGAGTCTTTTCTCAGAAACACATTCACTCTTTCAGGCAAAGCTACCACCACACTATTCTGTTCTGCTTATAACTCTAAATGCCATCATCTAATTGGAGCCTTTCCACACTTATTGCTGAAGCCCAGCAACAAATAAATAAGCATTAATAAATAAACAAATAAGCATATTTATTAATTCTTACTTTTTTAGAAAAAAACAGGAAGTAGAGGATCTAAATGTGACCTTTCTTTTAGAAGAAAATGACAGGTGGATACTTAGGAAATTTTCCTCCAAGATCCTCCAAAGAAGAGAATATTGACTATTCAAGAAAAAAAATGTATTGATTGCTGGCTACAGTGCAGAACCAAGGAAACATAGACTGTATATTTTAGAAGTAATCCAATAACTATCTTAAAGAATTTCAACGGAATTTCAACAGTTTACTTAAGCAATACAGAAAGGGATAATACTAGACACAAATCTATACCCACTTAGGTCTCCATGTGAATCCAAAATCAGTTTGTATAGCTAGGAGGATGAAATATACTAAGATTTCATTTGACAAGGAAGAAAATGTAAAGGTTGTGTGACCCAACGACTTGTATAAGTTCAACTGACAGCGACAATTTCCATTTAGAAAATGTATTTCAAAACTATTGGGTTACCATACACTAGAAAGTAGAGCTGACATAAGTCAGGTGTTCTTTCCAATGCTAATTAATACAATGACCTTCTACTTAGTTTTTGATGATCTAGAACTTTATCTAAAAATTATTCTACAAAACTATTTCTAATCTGTAAAGTGCTTGACAATTGATACTCTGTAAAACGGGAGATCTCTGGATGTCCAGCTTGAAACACCTGCCAGCTCCCAACCACAATGAGAAAATTCTGAGTTATACTTAAATAAGTTGATGATTCATTTATTCACATTCTCCACCTCATTTCCTCCCACTCTGCGGCCTTTCTTCATTTCCCTACCCAAGTGGTATACAGCAAGGGTCAACAAATGCTTTGTGCCTAGGGCCAAGCAAGGTTTTGTGGGCTCTGCCTTTATAACACAAAAAAGAGCTACAGGCTATCCAGAAAAGAATGGGTGGCTATGTTCCAATGAAACTTTTCTTTTTTTTTTTTTTTTTTACAAAAATAGGCAGTAGGCCAGATGAGACTTTTCAGGGTTGAGAGTTGCCAACCCTAAAACAAGGCAGCAATCATCAAACTTTGGCTTATATCAGAATTACCAATGAAGTTTATCAAGTCACAGATCTCCCTGGACCTCATCCTTAGTTTCTGATGCTGTTGGTCTGTAGTGGGACCTGAGATTTTGCATTCTTATTAAGTTCTCAAGTGATGCTGTTGCTGCTGCTGCTGCTGGTCCAGAGACCACACTGTGAGAACCACTGGTAGAGCATAATGGTCTATACTGACTGACTTTACAAAGGGCTGAAATGCCATGAACAGTGAAGAAAGTAGGAACCACATCCTGCAACTTAGCTGCTAAATATACAGAAGATTTCATGTAAAGACTTACTGTTAAGTGCCATAATATTATCTGTTCCTGGATGATGAAAATTTATTCCCATGCGCCCTGGAAAATACAATTATTTTATTTTAAGCACAAAGAAAAAATTCAGTTATCATTTCAAAATATTAAAAAATAGTAACATTAAAAAAGCTAAAACAAATTAATCCATAACAATAACAATGCTATCAACGGCCAAAGCAGTCACAACAGTTTCTAAATCAAATCATAAAACACATACATGAAAGGGCTCAAAACAAAACCAAAGTCTCAACAACAAATAAAATACAGCAAAACAAAGCAAAAAAAAATAGAAGCTTCTATTAAAATAGTCTAATGTTTAATGTATCTCCCATATTCCAATTCAAACATGCTAACTCTATGTATTCAGTATTTTATCTAAACATTTATACGCCTCTTTGGATTCAAGCAATACACCTGAGTATGAGACAGAATAAAAGCAAACAGGTTTTATAGTGCCTCAATACTCAATATGTTAGCAGTAGCAACACAAAAAGGTAGTTTATACGACATCTAAAGTGAGGAGAAAATGACCTAAGGATCTAGTTTTTATGCTATCTCTACCACTAACTATGACATTGGCCACAATGATTCTCCAGATTTGCATTCTTATACCTGTAATAAAAGGTACAAGCTTCAGCCTATCATGTGCCAGGATCCCATATGGGTCCAGTTCATGTTTCAGCTGCTTCACTTTCCACTCAGCTCCCTGCTTATGGCCTGGGAAAGCAGTTGAGGACAGCCCATAAGCCTTGGGACTTCGCACCCAATTGGGAGACCGTGAAGAAGTTCATGGCTCCTGGCTTCAGATTGGCTCAGCTCTGGCCATTGTGGTCACTCAGAGAGTGAACCAACAGATGAAAGATCTTTCTCTGTCTCTCCTTCTTTGCATAAACCTGTCTTTTCAAGAAAAACAAATAAAAAAAACTTCAAAAAAGATTTTGGTATGATCTTTCATTTATTACTTATTTGAGATAAGAGGTGGGCCAATCAACAAAGAAATGAAACACAGATAGTCTTCTGCGGGGGAAACTGTATTTAGTATGTTTCCTTGACAAATTCCTTTAACAATGTAATTTCCTGAAAAGAATGCTTTTGTGCAAAAGCCAGTATCCATAAACTTGGTTCTGCAAGATTTTGACATTCAGTTATGTTATCAAGAAATTCACATGAAAATGTTAAATTGATTACACTGTCATTGTTTAAAGTTTACACTCTTCTACTACAGAGAAAATTAGAGATAAGGCAAAAGTGATTGACTTTTATGACAAATAAACTTTATATTTAATCCAAAAGGTCAGTCGTGTTGTATTTAAACTCAGGTAAAGGATCCTGGAGACAACATCATGAAGATCTTCTGCCCAAAAGTAAAGCATCACAGCGCACACGACAGCATTTGCATTAAAGAAAAAGGGGAATCATGAATTCCTTGGTAAATATTGGTCTGTCTGAATAAGTTTTTCCTTAACAACTTTGCATAGGTCATTCATTCCAAGAGCCTGGAACAAAGCCAAAGCCCTCAAAAGACTCTAAAGAAATTTCCAATTTTACCATGAAGCATCTTAGGACTTTAAAAAAAATATTTATGTTTATGTTTGTTATTTTAAATCTTTTGAGGATAAAGATACTGTATCTCTCTAGTTCTGCAGGAACTATTTTGCCAATATTTATAACGCAGTAATCCTTTTTAAGTATGTATTATAATGTTTTCTTTAGAAAGACCATCATACTACTAGAGAAGTTCTCTTAACATTAGAATTGCCTGTTTTATTTTTTGTAGATTTCAGATATCTTATTATGTCTACGGGAAGCAAATAACTGGGAATTTCAAAAATTATTCCACTGTTAAAAGACAATTTAATTGATCTTTATATGTAGTGTTCTATGTGCCTTATTATATTTTCTAGTTCCCGAGTCCTTTAAAAGTCCCTGAAAATTACAACCTATACCATATATGCACTGGCTGCCATATCTGCCACCAACATGTTGATCAGAATCTGTTACAGGAAAATTTGTCACCAGAACAAGGTTTTGCCTTGTTATGGACAATCCACAATCACTTTGACTTCAATTATCTTTACCAATTTTCTCTCTTTCACTATTTTCAGAAAGTGAGCTCTTACTTGCATTTATTGTCACCACACAATAGCATCTATGAAAATTATATGTGATGTATCCTAACTTAGCTTTCAACATATTTTGTAATATTCTAATTTAACAGTAAATAATCAATCACCGGAAGGTCTTCCAGAAAAGCTCAGTGAGACTTTAAAAGAACTAAAAAAGGAGTGGCCATTACTGTGGCATTGTGGGTTAAGCTGTATCCTGCCTGTTTCACTTCTGAACTGGCGCCCTTCTAACACATCTGGCAAAGCAGTAGCAAACAGTCCAAGTGCTTGGGCCTCTGCACCCAAATCAAGACCAGGATGAAGCTCCTGGCATCAGCCTGGTCCAACCCTGGTCTCTTGAGGAGTGAACCATTTGAGCAGTCAACCAGCAAGGCAGAAAGTCTGTTTTGCTTTTTCTCTTATTCTCACCCTTTGTAATGCTGCCTTTCAAACACATAATAAATAGGTCTTTTAAAAAGAAAAAAAAAAGTCAGTCACATCACATATACAGGGCTTCTATTAAATCTGCAACCAAAATTATCCAGATGAGAATGTGGTTCCTACTATGCAAGTGATGCTCCCTAACCATTTCCAGAAAAATAAAGGGTTATCAAGAAAATCAGGTCAGCCCAGAGTTAGCTCAACTTTCTCAAACCTGAAGAGGTGACTCTTTTGTCTTCCAAAAATTGTGTGTGTGTGTGTGTGTGTGTGTGTATACACATTCTTTTCATGAGGTGTTACAATCATCTCACTGGAAAGATGAAACTCCAAGCAAGTTTCATCATTTTCTGTTACTGTTTATTCTACACTGATAATCTCAACACAATCCTTCTCAAGGAACAGGCAAACAGGATTAGTCAGTGTTTCACAGACTGAAGGCAGGCACAATTTAGTAAGAAACAGAAAATTTTAATTTTTCTGACGTTCTCTCAAATTCTGTGGGCTATTTTGACTTCAAGGGAGCTCAGAATGGGCCCGGCGCAGTGGCGCAAGTGGTTAGGGTCCTCGCCTCGAACACGCCCGGGATCCCATATGGGCGCCGGTTCTAATCCCGGCAGCCCCGCTTCCCTTCCAGCTCCCTGCCTGTGGCCTGGGAAAGCAGTTGAGGACGCCCCAAAGCTTTGGGACTCTGCACCCGCGTGGGAGACCCGGAAGGGGCTCCTGGCTTTGGATTGGCATAGTATGGGCCGTTGCGCTCACTTGGGGAGTGAATCATCGGACGGAGGATCTTCCTCTCTGTCTCTCCTCTCTGTGTATCTGCCTTTCCAATACAAAAATAATAAAAATAAAACTTTAAAAAAAAAAAAGGGAGCTCAGAATGAAAGCCATCAACAGCAGATGCTATAGAAACTCTGGTTCAACACCAGACCTAATGAACTAATTATCTTAATATAATCTGATTTCCCCATTAATTAAATCCAATTTTAAAAAGTAAAATAAAATATAGTTCCTGTAAGTGAATTTCTGTACCTCTTCAAGGAATAATGTTTAAATGCTATAAAATATAATTGTATTTCTTAGAAAAAACTAAACAATATAAAGGTATGAACAGCAAAGATAAGCATGGCTAATATTTTCATTTAAGTTTCTTTTTTTAAAATTTTACAACTAGAAAACTGGAATGATTTTTATTTCAAATACTGTATCTTATGTTTTACAGTCACTAAGTGATCCTTCAGGAAAGAGAAAATATATAATAGCAAACCAAAAATTGATTCCAAATTCAGGTAAGGATATTTTTTTCTTCCTTTTGTCCGACGAATACAGCTGTTTAATCAGCTGTGAAAACAGACTCAAGCCTGTGACATCTGGTGATTTTTGTTAATGCAGTCTGGTGCTGCTAGTGCGACATTTTGTCACCTGTCCATGCACTGCTATTTTTAAATTGTTCTTGTCAGCTAGCTATCTTTTAAGTATGGTGTAAAATATAAGGTTTCAGAGACTGGAGGGCACACTTGGTTTTACTGAGTTAAATGATGCTGTGGAAATCTGAGACAGTGTCCCACTTTCCCCACTGCACATGACTTAATAGACAAGGGCAAGAAGGGACAGAGAGAGGTTAGAGAATAGGGCTCCCACTGCTATTCAGAACAGCAACAAAAATCATAGTTTCAGAAACTCAGTTTACACTCATATTTAAGAAGGTAATGATAACAACTACCTCTACCGTTCCTTGATGTTTCAGAGTTCAACCAAATCCATACTTAATATGCAAAATAAAAATTGAAATTTTTACTGATACATAATAACTTATGGAAATCATCCCTTCACTTAGATAACATGTTTTGACATGGAGGATAACTGCTGTAACTACTTCTAATCAACCCCTTTGCTCTAGAAACTTGAGCATCCTGCAGAGTTTTCACATGTTAGGGTCATTGCTTTGTTCCACAAAGTGTGATGATGGTAAAATGCATCTTCCATTAGATTTTATTGTCCATTACTTTTCTCTAAAAAAGACAGGTGATATAGGGTACTTCAAGAACTTTGAATTAAATGGAATTAAAAGGCTAAGTTTACAGTGGTAGACTTAAAATCATGCATAGTTTTCTCACATACCATGCATTTTTATAAGCATACTGCTGGTTTCTCACACTTTGCTTTAGAAAAAGAATCCAGGCCCGGCACAGTAGCCTAGTGGCTAAAGTCCTTACCTTGTATGCACCAGGATCCCACATGGGTGCCAGTTCATATCTCAGCTGCACCTCTTCCCAACAAGCTCCCTACTTGTGTCCTGGGAAAGCAGTGGAGGATGGCCCAAGGCCTTGGGACCCTGCACCTGCATGGGAGACCTGGAAGAAGCTCCTGGTTCCTGACTTTGGATCAGCTCAGCTCCAGCTGTTGCAGCCACTTGGGAGTGAACAAGCAGATCACTCCTCTTTCTGTCTCTCCTTTTTGTATATCTGCCTTTCCAATAAAAAGATTAAATCTTAGAAA